ATATGAGATGTCAGTCTGTCACTATATTCCGTTAATCGCGTTTCTCTTAGAATCATCTTTTTGATAACTGCGTTTCATTGAAACTTGGAGAAAATATTCTGACTGAAGAGCAAAAGTCGGACGGAGCCAATCTCACCTTGACTCAATGAACATTCGCTTGATTCAAGGGTAGATTCAGGGTTCCCCGGACTTCAGCGAAAGCCTATTCATCACTTTCCCACTTTGAGAAGACGGTAGTCATAGCCTTATTCCTTGGAGAAAACCAGCAGAATGGGAATATAGATGCGTCGATATTTCGGTAACACGCTTTAATCGAAGCAAATAGCAGAAGGAATTCACTTCCGCTCTTGCGTTTGTTTAGTGCGTCGGGCGCTCGCAAATAACCACAAACTGTGATCGGCGCATTTGACGGCGTCGTACTTTTGCTACGTGCGTCATGTTTGTCGACAGCCATCGCCGCTGCACGCAGGACTCGGTTTCTTCTCTAATTTCTCGTCTGGTCAGGCGGTACAGTCTTTGAGGGAAGGGAAGCCTGAGGATAAGTTGGGCTACGTGCTTGGGTGTCCAGCGCGCGACTTATTGTCGTCAGTTTGTGGGCGTTCGGCGGTGATTTATCGACTGCAGATTTCTTGGGCGCCTGAAGGTGTACAATGATTTTAGAAATATTGAGACCCAGGGTATAACTTTCACAGCCACGAGCAAACCCTCTTGCGTCTCCATTTGAGCACCCAACGGTATGCATTACATGTTACGCTTTCATTCATGACTTCACCCGCTTTCGGCGTATGTACGCGCGCTGAAAACAGCCTATGTAAATAAACCATAAACTCAACAGCCGTTCGATCATTTCTGCATATATATTTTCTTATTTCCATGATGTTAGCTTTAACGACTTCCCCGAGTGAGCCTCAAATGCGGCAAATGAATGCTTAGCTCGGTAACCTCTGCTACCCTGTGGACGGGATGGTGGAGTTGTGCAGTTTCTCGTCAAGGAAGTTCGAAGGATTTCTGGTAACGAATGGCCAAAGCCGGCGTGGCGGATGTAGTTCTTTCAGACCGAGTCCGTCCAGAGCCCGTCTTCATATGACTGACCACGCCTCTAGCGCTCCGTCTTTTCACCGGTCTTTACCCATTTCCATTAATTTTTTTCTGCAGCCGAAGGGTCTCACTGTCTCAACAGACCTCTCCCCGCTGGAGCCGGAACAGCTAATCAGCACTAAACCCCGCTTCCCCGTCCGGACCCGTTGACCCGAGCTGACCCGCACCGCGGGAAGCACGGCCAGTTCCGCGTCGTCGGCCCGTCAGTCTGGCGTCCGCCGCCAGCGGCCACAGAGCGACCGGAACGGCGCCGGTAATGGCGCCGCAGCGCGCCCCGCCGGCCGCCAGTCAACCGCACTAGCACGCTCAATTACGGACGGGTGGAGCTGGCGCGGCCGGCTGACGACCTGGCGCACCCGCCGGCCGCGCTGCGCACCGGGTGGTGACGCGACAGAAGGTTCAAAGGCCTTGCGGTATGGGGAAGTCCGGTCTGCGGCCAGGCACAGGCAATCTGCTGTGCTCACGAATCGCGCTCGTCGTTGACTTTACACCGTACACTCAACATCAGGCCTTTGCCCGTATCGCGTTAGGGTGGCTGCTCCACAGACCAACCAGCCTCGGTGCTCGGTACTTGCCCTACCCGCCCGTGCAGCTATAACACACTAGAGATTAGCGCGCGTCCGGGTGGCCGATTGAGCACGTCGCACTCGGGTGGGGTAAGCGGTTGATATGATCCATCGAGATCTAAAAAAAACTAAGTGAGGTGGAGACGTAAAACTCGCGGCGCTGGTGGGACGGTGCGTGAATGAAATTGCGTCAAGTTTTTAGTATTTATGTTATGATCGTTGAGTAAAATAAGGTCAACCAAGGTTAACTTCGAAATGGGCATCCGACGTGCCCCCAGATTTACTCACTTGAGCAGTTTTAGCCAAGATAGATAAGACAGTAGTACCGGCCTTATCCCTGGGAGAAAAACCAGAAAAATGGAGATATAATTGGGTTGATATTTCGGCAACATGCCTTTATCGAAGTAATAGCAAAAGTGAATTCAAAATTGCGTGTCGATGACTCCATAGGCATGTTGCCGAAATATCAACCCAACTATATCTCCATTCTCCTGCTTTTTCTCCGAGGAATAAGGCTAATACTAATGTCTTATCTATGTGAAGAATATTTCTCGTTAATGTACTGAACAACTTACGTTATTTAGCCAAGATACTTTCTAAACAGAAGGTCACTTCGTGTGATCTCAGGTTACTTAACTTGTCTGATCTTTAGACATTGGGGTACTTTATTTTGATATCTTCAAATAAAATCCGTGTCAAAAATTGTCCTGGCGACATGTTCCGCAACGTAAAATGTTGGTCAAGATCATGTTAGGTCATTAGCCTTCACTGACCTCTATAAAGTCAAAATGAGATCTCGTGCGACGTTTTTCTCCTCAATGGATTCAAAATGAGCATTAACACTGCCCCACCAAGTAAGTCTTCCAACAATAATATGTTTGGCTTTGACCACACCTGACCTTCATAGTTGAGACAAGGTCGATGAAATAAGTTGCAACATTGTTTTTAATTGTCAGTGGTCTGGAATATAATATACAAATACATGGTACCCCCTAATACCCATGGTGACACATGTGGTAGGCTAACCTGTAGAACATCAATCATATTCTCCTTTTTGTAGAAGATAATGAATATATGAATATATTTGTCCGTCCCGGTAGCTCAGTTGGTTAGAGCGCCTGCCTTCCGATCCACCCACCCGTGGCGGGGTGGGTTCAAGTCGCTTTAGGGCGCTCGCTATTTGCCCTTGACAGGTATGGCCTGCGGCCGGTGGCAGCGGTCGCGCTAAAGGTCAGTTGACGTCAGAGGGCAGGACGGACCGTGCCGAGCATTGCGGCACGTCAAGCTTTCGCCACAAAATTCTGCCGTTGACATGGAATTGCGCGATCGGATGGTAGGGGTCAGGGCTCACACAACAAGCACTGCTTAACGTGAGCTCTGATCCCTGAAATCCATCCATGCAAAGGGTTCGGATGAAATCTTTAAATATATATATATATATATATATATATATATATATATATATATATATATATATATATATTATATATTTGTATATATATATTTGTATATATATATATATATATATGTCTGTATATATAATATATATTATCTATATATATATATATATATATATATATTATCTATATATATATATATATATATAATATATTTGTATATATATATATACTATATATATATAGATATATATAGATATATATATATATATATATTATATATATATATAGTATATATATATATATATATATAATTATATATATATTTGTATATATATACATCTCTCTCTCTTCTCTCTCCTTTTCTCTCTCTCTCTCTCTCTCTCTCTTCTCTCTCTTCTCTCTCTCTCTCCTCCTCTCTCTCTCTCTCTCTCTCTCTCTCTCTCTCTCTCTCTCTCTCTCTCTCTCTCTCTCTCTCTCTCTCTCTCTCTCTCTCTCTCTCCTCTCTCCTCTCTCTCTCTCTCTCTCTCTCTCCTCTCTCTCTCTCTTCTCTCTCTCTCTCTCTCTCTCTCTCTCTCTCTCTCTCTCTCTCTCTCTCTCTATCTCTCTCTCTCTCTCTCTCTCTCTCTCTCTCTCTCTCTCTCTCTCTCTCTCTCTCTCTCTCTCTCTCTCTCTCTCTCTCTCTCTCTCTCTCTCTCTCTCTCTCTCTCCTCTCTCTCTCTCTCTCTCTCTCTCTCTCTCTCTCTCTCTCTCTCTCTCTATCTCTATTATCGGTTCGCGTTTCATTTCAGTGGTAACCTTATACTAATGGTAACGCATCGGCTTAAAAGATTTCTTAGAAGTTTGTATTCACTGACAACCATGGTATTATTGCGACCTGCAGTGATTTTAAGAGGTATCTCTTTGCTGTACTGAACAATTGGTTGTTCATTTTTTCTACAAACTGTGCGAAATTTTGCGTTGCCACGCCCCTGTCGTTCTGGATTAAGGTTACCAAAACCACAGGAGTGACAAATTGACACCCTGAGCGCGGTTAACTTTTGTGGACCGATCCAATCCCAGTTGCTAAGTTATGTCGAGTCTCGCTGAAGTTCTCTCTAGTCATAAATCCAAATCCGTTCCGGTCCTATCCGATTAAAATCTGTTTTCCATTTTAACATAACTTCATCTGCATGGAAACTGGGGCACCCATGTTTTGAATTGTGATTGTCATGACAGAATTGTCTTCCTCTTTGCTGTTTAGCCTTCCGTGTGTTCCAATTTATTTGAGCTGGTCAGATCTCTAGCCCCACCGAGTCTTCAGGAGCATCCTTCATAATTGATCTGACCGAGCTGAGTCCGACTGATCTACAGTACGTGGATCGATCCTATCTGGGAAGACGTCTCCTTGCGACAGCGTCCGTCCAGGAGAGGCTCATCAGGAGATTTATCTGAAGGTGATACAGACAGTGCATGGTCCGGACAGACATGCTAATTGTCCGAGCCGAACCGGTCCAGGTCCGTTGGGTCCTCTCGAGCGCCAATCGAGCTGTAATACTTCCATCGGCCGAGACGTCTGCCGGGACCGTTCAGCGTTGGAAGCGAATCTATCCTAAGCTGTCGCCTTGAGGTCACGCCTGTCCCCGACCAGTTGAGTCCGAGACCGTGTCATTACAAGGACTTTAGCTGCAACCGCAGATCGCAAACTCACAATGGGTGTAATTTCCCCGTTGAGCGGCTGTGTGGCAAACCTTTCCGCTAATGAAAACTTTCACGAGTCCCGCTTTGTCCGGAGTGGCCTCTGCTTGCTGAGTGTTCCCATTCGCATGCAGCCGGCCGTCCTAGTTTCGAAGTTGACGTGAGTACACGGTGCGGCCGTGACGACAGCCCATGCATGCGAAACATCGCCGGGAGGCTGCGCCAGCCCCCACCGCACCGCCAAAACGCCACGTCCATAATCATGGGAGACGCGAGTGAAGCGGCCTAACGCCCCGCGCCCCGCGCCGACATCCGCCACGCCCAAGCTGCGTAGCGCCTGGCCAGGTCCCCCGACCGCACCGCGTAACTGGGCACGGACGGCCGCCGCTGGCACGGCCCTTCACGCCGGGAGCCGGCTGGCTGAGGCCGACCCGCCCGCTGAAGCCTATGACAAGGATATGGGCCGGGGGGCAGCTCCGGGACAACTAATTGATCAGCTGGCCGTTCCCACGGTAAGCTGGCGGCGCTGTTCATGCCCGAGCTGCCTGCTATCGGGTGCAATTTGCTCCTTGAGTAGGCCGCCGGGATTGGTTCGCTGTCGCCTGTCTCGGGCGCCTCTGGCGGAATTTGCAGGAAAGCTTGACAAGTTGAAGCACAGGTGTTAGATTCGTAGCAAGTGGTCTAAGGACAGGAAGTGAATTTGCCACGTTAAGCAATCACTTATGAATTGCATACGCCGATGCCAGGTGAAATAACCTTCACCCTGATTCGCCATTTTTTAAACACGGATTCACAGGTGGGAGGCCATGCCACCCTTCCCCTAAACGTTTCCAAGCTAAACAGGATGCAGCCTCGCGAGAGCGAACAGCGGATTGGTCTTCAAAAATATCCCGGTTGGTGCTACTATGGTTTTGCTATGTCAATAACTCGCCCCACTATGCCAGGTCAAGAGCCAATTATTCCTGGAAGTCAACTTTCTCAGTTTGCTGGGGTTTTATATATATTTTGTACATATATATATATATATATATATATATATATATATATATGTGTGTGTGTGTGTGTGTGTGTGTGTGTGTGTATATATACATGATGGTGCCCTGTAACAACGCAACACCCAAACTGGCGGGTTTTTTGTTTAATTTTTAGTACAGTGGTACGTAGTTGTTTGTTTTTTTAGTGTCTGTCGATGATTTACGGTTTTCGTATTGTAACGGTGTTGGCCTGTTACGCGGGCCGCTGAATCGGCTGCCGCCGTGATCGCCACCCCGACCCACGCCGGCAGTGAATCACCGTGCAGTGCTCCTGCATCTATAACGCAATGCACCTCTAATGCCCAAGTAGTTAAATCAGATATTGCGGTGAAATGTTAACCGTGTCCCGTTTGGTGTTATGGCCAGGCAGACGTCAACTGATTTTCGATTACTTTTCCAGCACTCTATGTTTTCTCATCTCCACCTATGTCCACAAGCACGCATCACTTCATGTTTGGCTGAGACGTCAAAATAGACCGAAATGTTTAGAATTTTCCCTACGTGACGACAAGAACAGCAATGTGCGGATCACTTTCCGTTTGGTCTATCGTACAGAGGTTTGCGTCCGTTGCAGCCTAAACGCCAAGAAAACCTGACTTCCCCAATAATATCGGCCAGTGATGTTGAAAATAGTGGCGTCTCCTGCTTACGCGATAGTCGTGAAACATCGTATCAGCCTCCACTCAACTGCCCAACTACCTGCACCCACATCGTCACACTACAAAGCAGCCCGCACCGGAGCCTTAGCAGTGACCTGACCTGGTCCGACCTCTGACCTCCGCCGCCGGGCAACACCACAGGGCGTCACGACCGTGCCCCTCCCGCTGTCTGCAGAGCACCGCCTGCTGCTGGAGGCGGTGCTGGAGCACACGGCGTCGGCCGGTGGCGGCGACGGGCAGGGAGAGGCGGACGACACTAGGCTGCGGTTCGCCATGACATCGGCGGCGGAGGCCGTGGTGGGACTTCCAGCGCCGCTCTATCAGAGCATTGAGGGTGAGTGATCATTGACCTTTGATGCTTTAGTGAATGAGGTTAAGCTGTCTTGTCGTCAGATAAGGAGTTTGCGATGTTTCCACGTGGAGATTGGGTTCAATAATGATGTCGCCCAATGTTCTACTTAGCACATGAAACCTATAGAGAGGAATTGTGGGTATGCGGTGCAAAAAGATTTCGCAGAAGGAGTGAGACCAGATTTATGCTAGGTCGTCAAATTTGCGATGAAATTCGCTGAATACTTAAAGTGCTGACTGAAAAACCCAGAGGGTTGCGATAACTTCTCTCCTTGGAGGCTGGTTAGGATGTTAAGGAGGGTTTTCCACATTTGAATATACTGAACCAAGTATCGGATATGATGAAATAAGCCCACTATGGGTACGACTTTATGCTTTTGACTAATAAAGACAGCTTTAAACAATAAAAGTTCTCCATTTAGTACAAATGCTTTTTAATACGTCATTGTGGACGAATCGACAGTTGTATTTTTCTTGGCTTTGATCGCCGCATGGCCAATGAAATGACTGTATTTGAATGACGTTATTATAGCGTCATGGATGCCGGGGTGCCCTGAAAATAGTCTGCACGAATTAGTCTGCACATCTTTGCGGGTGTGTAGCTCGGAAGCTTTTACCTCTGTATGGGGTTTTACAGCGAGAGACGGCCATAGTGTAATACACTGTGACATGTCTTGGGATGTAGGTCCCAAAACCCTCCACTCCCTGAGCCTGATTGCAACTGAGTTGCTTTATTTCGTTTGAGACAGCGTCCAGTGCGACAGCAATAGCAATCTTGATGCACAAGGATGTCATAACATCACTTAGAGCTAGAGCGGCACTTTGAGTGAATTGAAAGGTAGAAAACAAAACGTGATAAAGTTTGACCTTGCATACACAATTTGATGTCACCCACGCCAGAGTCGAATACAGTCGCGTATTACTTAAGAATGTAGAGACGTGGCGTTGTATTGCAAAATAATGGGGCTAAATCTTCTCCTAGCTTTCCTTTCCAATGTTCGCGTTTTCTCACAAGAAATAGCCGAATCATTGTCAGTACAGTCGTGTTGTTTTGTAACGTGTTGTGCGCTGCTGCTAGGAGCTACGTTGCAACATTTTCACGTTACTCAGACTTAAGAATGCTAGTCCCTGGGTGAAATCCCCGAAGACCGTTTAAACGCAGTTCACTTTACCCGCAAACACCTCCAATTCTAGTTCAACATTTTTACTTGGCAGTTCTGCAGCACGGGGCTTTTTAAATCACCGAGCTTATGAGTATGCTATTCCGACGATTTTCATTCCATTTCCTGGAAAACTATAGCTTTATCTGCAGTACAAAGAGTACATGGAGTTTCAATTTGAGCTTAAAAGCACATCTACATCAATAGAATTGAAACTGTTCCGCTTTTATCGACATTGACACCAACAGCGGCACGGGAAGGTCTAAAAACATCACTTATTTTTATCAGCTAAAGCCGATGGATGGAAGACGGTAGCCCCACGCAGCGAGATGGTGCGATTTTTATATTTCTTTTTTTCGTCTGCCATGCTTTTTTATGAAGTATGAGGTCAACAGTTATGGCGTGGCAAATGAGGGTGTTTGCAGTTTGCACAACACATTTCCTTACCGCGCCATTATCCCGTTGTCTAAAGCCTGTTGGTCGGAGTTGTTCGAGCGGGCACCTTGACATGCTGTCCAAAACGCAGCCTGCAGGGGCATGCCACACTGGTACGCCACAGCTGGTATGCCACACTGGTACGCCACAGCTGGTATGTCACACTGGTACGTCACAGCTGGCATGCCACACTGGTACGCCACAGCTGGCATGCCACACTGGTATGTCACACTGGTACGCCACAGCTGGTATGCCACACTGGTAGGCCACAGCTATAGGCACGGTCTACCGTAACTATCGCATCGTTTTGTATCGTATACCGTATATCGTATATCGCATATCGTATATCGTATCGCATTACATGGACAAAGCCGTGAAAAATGTCTGTCTTGCTTTTTTGCCTGCATAGCACACGCTTCCCGTTCCATGTATACTTCATGCCATGAGACACAAGGAAAACGGCAAGGCCTGCTGTCTCGCGCAATCTTACCAGTCGTTATTTTGCCGATAGTGCTATCGATGTTTTATCGATCAGCGGCGGATAATCCCTCGATTGGAATCCGACATATTTGAGGAAATGTTCGAGGGGAATGAGGAAAAAAGGGAAAGAAAGGAAAACGGACAGGAAAAAAGGAAAGGGAATGTTTGAGTCATCTGAAGGTATCGAAGCAAGCATCAGATATGATGAAATCAGCTTAAAAGACTGCTCTAGACAAACAAAAATTATCTAGTAAACATGCTCCTCAATACGTTATTTTATTGCGTTATGGAACACTTGTTGCTGTTAAACTGGCCGTGCGAAATCTCACCCTAGCACGCACTTTCATCACTTCAATCTTCCGAGAGGTGGCCGTGGCGACGCTGGAGGTGTTTGCTGAACCAAAATATTCGTGTGCTCGTGTTTTGAACGCCCTTTCTAGTGGCGTTCTTGCATTTTTATCTGTGAGTCTGAGGTGTTTACCTGCATTCATACGCTCGGTTGGGGCGCAGTTCTTAAATAATTCGACGGTATGTTTATTTCCATAATATCTAGCTTCCATGTCCAACTTCTCGTATTCTGTGACACAAAACGTGATCCCTGATATGATCCGACACTCTGATCCTCATTCTTGCTTTGTCCTGAATCCTCGCGAGTCCCCGTTTGTCCGGAGCAGACCGCGTGGTCCGGCCACGAGAGGGCTGAGAGGCCCCCGGGAAGGGGGCCCCGACCGGGCGCCCAGCGCACACTTCGAGGGGCCCCTGCGCGGACTGAGTCTCGGTGGTTAAACCCCCAGGCGCATGTAGTCCTACCCCACCGCTATCCATCCTCCTTCATCCCATAGCCCTGAAATGATCATTTCCGGCCGAAAGGCCTCTAATCCAAGCAACCAAACAACTAAATCGTGTTTAAATCTGGCAGTGCTCGCCCAACGTTGATCAAGAGCCAATTGAATTGCATATTACTTGTAAGCCGCGCTCACGAACGCCAGGCATGAGCGACTCGACGATTAAATCATTGTTGGCCTTGAATGCCGCATGACCAATGTGCTGACAGGAATCGAATGACCTTTCTATGGCGTCATGCATGCCTGATGTACCTTGAAATAATCTGCACATCTTCGCGGGCGTGTGGCTCAGAAAGTAGACGGTTTTAGGTCGTGAGGTCGGCAGGGCTGTGAACTGTTCCGAATGGTCTTCAAGTTAGCTATTTCAGTTCAAACCCCAATAAAAATGTGGAACATCCCCTTTAAATGGCATCAATGCCTGAAATGACTGAATGTCATGCGTCACGAGTTCGCAATGTGCCGCGTGGCACCGGGGTCGGGGCCCAGCCCCAGTTAAGCAGCCCTAGTCCAGAGAAAACGAGACATTAGATCGGGCCATGAACTTAGCGCATAGAGACGTACTGATTCCTAGATTTAACTGCCGACATTGACAACCGCAAATGGAAGGCCGAGCCGGCGTCAGCGCCATCTAGCTTCCACCGCGCGGCCCCGGATCTGTATCCCATCCGGCTGCTGACGGGCGGTGGCAGGTGCCGACAGATGGTGACCCCTGACCTCTGCGTGCAGATCAGACGGAGCTGGTGCAGCCTCGACTTTGGATGCTTCTGTGCCTGGAGACGGAGCCGCCGGCCGAGCAGTGCCGCCGAGCCAGCTTCCACGAGGAGATGGAGGCGGTGGAGCTGCGTCGCTTTCTGGCGGCGCAGACCCGGCCTGGATGGGTGAGCAGGTGTTTGGACCTGGCCTGGAGGGACGAGAGTGGGGTTCAGGCCGAGCCTGGAGCCAGTCCCATAAAGCAAAACAGCACTTGATTCACTTGCAATCGCAGGTTGTGGATATCCGTATCGCCATACTCATCAATGACTCATACAACCTTACGGAAGTGATGCTCTTCCCCTGCCGTTGTTTTGTGAATGTTTATTCTTACGTCGGAGGTCCCGCACCCGCTTAAGAAAGGGGCGCGCACTCGTGATACCTCCTTCCCTAGTTTTGCTACTTATCCGCCGTCAGTTTTTGTAAATTATCCGGGGGGGGGGGGGCAAACCAAAGGCCCGACAGCCTACCCCTTCCCCACCCCCATTTCTTCTCACAGGACTTAGCCCACTTTATTTTTATCAAAAGTAATATTCTTTTGCAAGGGCAGGGCCCTCACAAAAGAATAGAAATCGACACCCGTGTGCGTTTTTCCGTTGAGTAGCAGGAGGCTGAGCAACAGCTGGTCGCAGTAAGGAATTGCAACGCATTTTCAGCGAAAGAATCATGAAGGCACGGTTATAGGACAATCACTATTAAAAACGCAAGTGGATCGAGAACTAGCGTAATGTGTACGAGCAAAAATTAGAGTTTTGTCCTCATCTGCCTCAAAATGAGTGGCCAGCTGAACCCTTATTGCTTACCACACCAGTCAAAACATAACAGCGAGAACCCAGATCGCAGACAAGAACGTTATTATGAGAACCCTGTAGCAGCTGATCCATGAGAGTATTTTATCAGTGTCGGCCTCGAGATCGGCCTCTCTCCCTCCAACCGTTGTGCGTACAGGCCTGTAAGGGGTGCCTAGGAGCCCATGACACAAGCACCTCAAAGATTTCCAAATGCTTAAGCACATTTCATGTAATATGCATGCCCTAAGACTACGCTTGTAATATTATGAAATGCAATCGGTTTTATGCTTAATACATTTGACACACTTTGTAATAAGCCATAGTTTTGGCTGCGAAGTCGTACTATTTTCGTCCTTACCTATCCTTAAGATACGACAGTTGGAAAATTTGACCGCGTTTTTCGCGAAAAAGTTTCATCGCATCCACAATGCTACTGTATCCCCCAGTCGCCCCCAGTGGCGCTACAAGCGCGTTCCCAGCGTCCCTAGTTCTCCTGGTCGCTCCAGGTGGTGAACCCACCGTGTTCCCCGCGTCCCTGTATTCTCCAGTCACCCAGAGATACTGTAAGTGTATTTCCGGTGTCCCCGTCTACCCTAGTCGCACGCAGTGGTGCTGCAAGCGTGCTCCCAGCGTCCCTGTTTCCCCTAGTCGCCCCAATGACGCCCCTTGAAGCGTGCTCCCAGCGTCCCTGTTCTCTCTAGTCGCCCCCAGTGACGCCCCTTGAAGCGTGTCCCGTGTGCCGCAGACGATTGCGCCGCCGCACCCCTCCGCCATCGAGGTGCCGTTCGACCTGTGGGAGACGCACGTGACGCTGCTGCTGACTGGGTCGGCCGACCTGGCTCGGGTCACGGCCATCGCGCCCACCCTCGCTCAGCTCTTCCGCGGTTCGGTCGGCTTCGTTGTCGTCAATCTGTGAGTCATTGTGCTGCATGCGGGATAGCCTCACATAGGTGCGTTTCGAAGCGCCCCGGGACATCACGCACGCGAAATATCGCCTGGCTTGATTGATGATTCTTCGAAATATTTATAGAAAAAGGAACACCGCGGCCTCACGCCATATATCTACCAACAGCAAGGGCTGCTACCGCATGATGCAGCAGTCAATACTTTACGCCACGAGCGCTCATAGGTCAAGTTATCGTGGCAGTCAAGGAATAGGTTACCGAACTCGTTTGCCCTTTGATTTCGAGTTGGCTAGCCTCCATTCATTTTTCAACAGGACATTCGTCATATGGATCATCAAATACGATCATCGGCAGCTGTTATTTTGGTCCGAGACGAGTACGCCGTGTCTGTAGAGCTATTTTTGTATGATGCTCACGAACTATTTGGCGCGGCATGGAATAGCCTCAGACACAATCAGAAAGGCCCTTGCGCCGCAGCGCACCAATTGTGTGCTGGTCAATTGCTTCCAACTTAGATTATCGTCGACTGATTTATCTGCCTTTTACGTGCCCTGATAACTGGCCACTTCACTGAGTGAAGCTTTGGATTGCAGGGCCGTCGTACCCCATGCATCATTGAACCAGTTTGGGTTGGATGTGAATCGACTGTACCTGCCATCTCTTGCGTTCATCACCAAAGGCACGGTAAGCCGGCTCTCTTAAATCACCACATTTTGGGTCGGACAGTGATGCTAATGCCTGGTTCAGCGCTTGGTCGGTACGCACTGCCAATTAGGAGCCGGGCAAACATCTGCGTTATTACCGCCGCGTCGCGAAATTCGCAGCATTGAATTACAACGCTCTATGTAGCATGCCAGTTCATTTCAGTTCCGGTCCGCGCAAATGGAGCCTTCCATTGTGGCTGTGTGTCAAGTCATCTGGGTATGTTGGTGGTGACGTTTGCGAAGTGTCGACTATCGCATACACCTCATGGTGCTTCCACTTCCAGACGACAGTCTCGGCGCTGCTTAACCAGTATGATGATGTCGTCGGCTTTATCAACGATCAGCTGATTAAGTATATGAAGGCGATGGAGAGGCACCAGAGAGAAGAGGTGGACTGGGAGGATCTCGAGGTGGAGATGGACAGTGTTCCCGGTTAGTAGGCTCTTGACTGTTTGAGCGATATTGGTACACTCCAGTGTTTTGCCGCAACTCATACCAAGTGTTATTCCGGACAAACGGTTTTCGCTGAATTCGCGAGCGTCGTTAGAAAAACAACGTTCATCATTCCCGCTACATATTTCCACTATTTCCTATGGTATGTAGCATTACCATTTTTATCGCCGACATATTTTGCAGACCTTGTTCTCCCCGTGTGTTGTTGCGATTCTGGTGTGTGTCAACACGTAATCGGAAGGGTACGGGCCAATTTGATCCCCTCCCCCAAAGGTTTATATTTCAGAAAGGCGTGGCGTGCGCCAAACTAAACGAAGAGCTGAAGGTAGTTAAAAAGTGAATATTTTGGTGTAAAAATTAGATGTACGGGGTAAGGTCGCTAACCCATGGCAGGTCAGTTAGGCCGTCGCTGTCAGCGAAGGGTATTTCTGGGAAATCGTCCAATCTGATGCAAAAAAATAGAATGTTAGACGAAGCAACACATCTGGGATATTTTCACAGGCGACAAAATAATTGAATTTAGGATTAACACAATTGCAGCAGCCTTGGAAAAGGTATCAAGGCTAGGCTGAGGTCAAAACCACCTGCTTTTTTACTTGATAATTTGCCTGTAGGTCAGAATTGGTTATTGACCTAACATGATCATGTCAACATTTCCTTTTTAGGAACAAACCGCCCAGCGGAGCCCTTCTTGACGCTTATTCAAATACAAAACACAAAGCAGCTTCGTAATAGTTTGGTCACCATGACATCATTAAGGACAATTAGGGTCGCTGACCTCGAATGACATCCCTTTTTCTTATATTTTTCCTTAGAGCAGGTATCTAGGTTCAAGGCAGTTGCATGGCTTGGTCTGGGTGCGCTTGGGACACCGATCTGGAGATACAGCTTTTTATCTGTCTGACTTCAAGTTGATTGCACCTATGTGCCTCAGATTTTAACACAGATGAGTTCACATATAGTTTGGCCCATTCTGTAAATTTGGTGTTTCTAAAGTTATTGGTTTTTGAGATATCAGAGGATCAACCTAACTCTATCCCCACCTGAGCAAAGGGCACTCAGCTGGTCACCTGGGCGCGTGTTAATACAGCTTTGCGTGACCCATGAACAGGTTCAGGGGCGCTCCCACAGCCATGTGTTCACGGGTGGTAACGTACCCCATGCGTCACTGGAGGGATATTACTTACTCATATCCCTTTCTCCAGTGACTTATGGTTTGACTTCTGGGAGAATTGCACCAGCATCCGGAAGCTTTCAGTAACCGTAAATGAGTGTCAGGACTGTTGTGGGCCAAAATAGGGTTGATCATGCCATGTAGGTTATGCGGAAATAACGTCAAAGTCAGTATCGAAGATACCAGATTTAAAGTCTAATTGCCCTGCAGGCATTGTTTTGCACGCGACCAATTCCTCATTACGCTGGATTTGTTTACGCGTTAAACGACCATTAGAGATCAAGTGGGGCAGACATGATCTGCTGGGCTATCATCAATTGATATATTGTTTCAGCGGCTTCAGAATGTTTCGCTGTAGTGCCATGAAAAATATGCTTGATGCAACGGGAAAACGACGTTTATGGTTTCTGAGGAATAGTAGCGAAGTTCATGAATGACCATCCTCAAAGCCCACGCAAAGATAATTAAATGTCAGGCCAACAAAGCTTAGCTTCATTAGTAGGCATAGGTTTGCTTGATATCAGAGATCGAGGGCGGAAGAAGATGAAGGATGCGTACACTGCAGAAGTCTTGGGTGGAGGATTAGCCCAGCCGCCACCGGTCTGAAAAGGACCTCCGCTTTGACCGGCACATCTTCCAGTGTCAGCCGACTGGCAGCTTGTGAAGTGAGATGTATTGTAACGTTTCAGATGTTCTGAAGCAAGACGATGAGCTGGAACTATCACTACCCGAGGGAGACAACTTCGAATCCATTCAGGATTTATCTGCTGACGATTACACATCATCTACCAAGTCTCGGGACTTCTTCGCTGTGATTGCCTATCTACCTTGTGAGTCACTGTTCCCTGAAGCGTACACGTAATCACGAGCACTTCAAACATTTCTGATCGCCGCTCTTTCCTGTAAGCTGAGTATTTATTGTACTTAGTGATGTACCTAGTGTACTTCTTTCCTGAGTACTAAGTGTCCTGCTATGTGCTTCACGGGGTCGTTTCACATCTCTTTCACCGCATTCTACTCCATAGCCCGATGACCCGGGGCTCCCGGCGCATCCCATCTGACTAATGGTCCCGACAACGTCATCTCATCCGACTTGAAAAGTCGTCCCATCCGACTTGTGATGCTGTCAAAGTTATTCCGTCCCAATAATGGTCCTGACGACGTCACCCCGTCCGACCAATTGCCCTTACCACATTTGGTACATTGCGGTTGGCTTTTGAAAGTTCAAAAACCGATTGACTGCGCACATCAAACACCGAACGTCAAATCGTACGCCAAGAAGATAAGGGTCGTTCTGGCCGCCGGTGGTGAAGCATTCCATAATGCATCTACCTTTCCCCCCCCCCCCCCGCCCCCTCCCTGTGATCTTGCTAAATGAAACGCGCATGGAAACAGGTGCGTGTCAGTTGTAAATTAAATTCAGACCAGAGCCGCAGAGATGCTTCGTTGAAATTGTTGTTCCAATCGAAGACACCAAATCCTGGAAGATTATTACAGCAATTATATTTCATCGGGAAGTGATGTCTGCACAACGCGAATCGCGATGATACAATTTCTTCAATTTCCAGTCCTCCTACACTAAATCTTTAAATCACAATGAGTGGTTATTGACAACGCAAAAGCAGTGGGCTCTTCGCTGCCTGTACTTCGCATACGCGGCGAACAAAGCTGCCGCCGCGGATGGCCTCGCAGTGAGCCGCGACGGGCCTGTTCTGCAGGGGACCCGGCCAGTCGTGCGCTTCTGTGGGAGCTGGTGACGCTGCCGTCGCCCCTGCGCCGCCACCTCGGGCGGCTCAACTGCCTGGACTGGACGGACCTGTGCGACGAGCTGGGCGTACGGTCGCACCCGCAGCTCATCACCACCGCCGCCGGCCACGCCCGCCTCCACAGCACCAGTCCGACCCGGGCCCGCCTGCGGGAGCTGCTGTCCGTGTGAGCTTAGACGCTCGGCGGCGGCTGGTCGCGCGGCCTGTGCGCACGCCAGCCGCTGGCCGTCTCGGCGCTGGCTGGAGCTGCTGCACGCCGCGAGAGCACACAGCCAAAGCAGGTCACGCTCGATGTGCTGAGAGTCGTTGGCAGGAGGGAGTTTTGGCATGGCGGCCGCGGTCGGTGGTCGGCGGTCTTTTATTAAATCGACGAACGTATACCGAGAACGCGTGGGTTTGGAGAGTTTTGGCATCCGCGACATTTTCTTTATCACTCGCTGTTTTCACTGCAGAGGCCCGGCACCAGTGCCTTTGGTCGTGGAGGACACTCAGATCGAACTCTGGACGACCGGGCAAGTAACCGGATCACCACTAGATGGCACCAGCAGAGCTCTGGTGCTTCCCACCAGCTTGCGGCTACCACCCAACGCCTTGACTCGCCTGAGAGGCACGATTCTGGTTGCCTCGCTGGAAGACAGCCACGTTTTCTCAAGGTGGGAAGCAACTCACTTTTCCGTCCTCCACTGCGTCATATACGTGATTCGCTGAACGTAGTCTATCAATGAGCCAACAGTAATTTACTGCGTCTGTCGGACCAAACGCGTGCCCATCCCGTATTGCGACGCAATGTGATCTTGGCATTCTAAGACCTATCGCCACGCCTCACATTGCACATAACAGCGTATTCGACCGTTTTTAGGGCTACGTGGCTCGCTGAAAACGTCATTTGACGTCAAATCTGTTCAGAGATTGACTTACGACATCAACGGAGCTTTGAAGTTTGGTCTCGTCTCGCTTCCAGGTTTGGCAAGAACGCTGCACACTGTCTGAAGAGAAACGACCCTTTTCAACCGGCATTCGAAGTCGACTTGATCAAACTGGAGGAGTCGATAAGCCGATGCGAACCAGTACTGGTGAGCGGTTCATGTCCCATTCGCATCACATCCACAAACACCATCAGCATTCGGTCACAAAGTCCTCTCTTTGGGAAATAGCACTAGTACGGAGTTTTTCGGCGTGGTATAAACGAGACGTTCACAGACGTGACATTTGCCAGGTGTCATCATGTGGATAATGCACAAAACTGAGCTAGTGCGGCCATACACCTTTGGTAGAGGACATCAATGGGTTTCATCAGTGTGTTATTTTTCAGGAGTAGATCAATCGACTCACGCAGCATTCGCGCATCCACTCACAACTAACGTTGCTTCAAAATTTACAAGATATGGGACCAGTCAACCTTGACAATTTCCTTAACACCAAATCGGTGGCGAGACAATTCATAGCTTGTCAATGTAATCCAAATCATCGTAAAAAACGCAAATATTTGGGGTGGACGCTGGTCACGGCACAACCATTCCCAGTTTAGGATATAGTGTCTTGTATTCGAGATGGGTTTCAAGGAAGGTAAAACCAGCTGCTCTCCGGTCCAATGTTGCCACACCTAAAAGCCGCGCCGTTTTGAGTTACGACGGGTCGCGCAGCCGAGTTACCGGTCGTCGAGAATCGGACCCAACTTCGGTCGGTGGTCCTCAGCTTTTCTGCAATTTGAAAATGTTTTCTGTTCCGTGTGTTTCGTGTATGTGTTTCCAGGCGTATTTGGATGCTAGTTGAGTGGGAAATGCTTAATTGTGGTGGCATTAAAGTTTTGCAGGAAACGCCGCTCTTGTCAACAAGTGCGCACGCAGAGAAGCAGGGCAAAATGTTGCGCCTGCAGAACGTGACATGCAGCGTATGCGCGCTTAAAATTCTCGCCAAATGAAGAGTTACACAGATCTGATATGGTGCGAAAAGATTAAACACCCCCGAACCTAATCCCGAAAAAAGACTTAAAGGGGGTGACGGACAGAGTCAGACAGATACCGTGCTGTGTTTGGAAAATGAAAAGGACGTCACTCCATCCTCCTGCAAAGGGCACACGATACATTCGATTCCCTTCACGTACAATTTTGGGTGACATACAGATAAGTTTTGATTGCAAGGGCTGCAAGTTTCCTTAACTAGCTGTGTTCAAAATTTGCGAGTTGTAACAGCCACTTAAATAGGTATGTCTAGTATTACGGCTTGCCGGTTTTATTTCCAAGAGAGGAGTTGATAAGCTGTGTACGGAGACCGATTTTCAATGCGCAAGTTCTGGTCTCGTGGGGTGATCTCGGTGTCATTAATGACATGAGTAGTGAAAGATAAGTTTCTAAAGTCTCACGGCATCGACGCTACCATTTCATATGTCGTAAGCAAACATGGTCATACATTGTAAGAGACATGTCCCCCTGCAGCCGTTCCTGTCAGTGATTTGCCAGCGGCAGCACCGCGCGCTATCAGATCAGCGCCGACGTTAGTGTGATCAGCGCCGACGTTAGTGTGATCAGCGCCGACGTTAGTGTGATCAGCGCAGAACTTTCACAGAGAGCCCATCGGCAGGGACTCGCTTGGGCAGTTCAGCTTTTCTAGTACATCCGCAGAGCCTCTTCTGGCTGCGTCGTTCAGGCGCGCCGCGCTTTCAGTCCCAACTGACGGAGGAAAACTTCGATCGTCTCCGACCGACGCAGTGGACATTCGTTCTGTTCTGTACGCCCCCGGCCTGTCCGCGACCGGACGTCACGGAGGCGCTGGTGCAAGCGGCCGGGCACGTGGCGCTCTCAGAATCCGACTTCTACTGGATGAACAGGTGGGAGGATGAACAGGTGCTCATGACTCAAGTCACGAGCTGCGCATCTCTGGCGGGCTGGTTTGGTGGGCATTTCCAGCTGTCCGTGCGTTGTGTAATGTGTTCCACGCCCTGTTGTATGGCGCCATCAATGTGATGTATATGTTCTACGCGTCTGAGTCGCCGCATCTGTCAAAGTGCCCATGCTGGTGAAATGCCTTCGCTTTTCCCGCCCAATATTGGATGAATCACAATGACCTTAAGGTGGTGCTATCGGGTACTGCTTCGAATCTAACAGCCTTTTTCACGTCCCGCTGCGCTCTGCATAGGTCGCGGTGACGTCTTGTCAGATGGCTCGCTTTGTGCTCGGCTGCGCAGCATCATCAACGTAGCGCGAACAGGCGTACTTAATACCTTCTTCTGGAAACGATTTGAAGAAGTCAGTGATGACCAGGGAAGACCATACAAACGGAAAAGCACACCTCCGAAGCTGCACGCGAGCCATTTCGCCTGTTGTATCCTTCATCCTATCCCACACGGCGACAAGTCTCTACAATCAGTTTAGCGGCTGTCTTTTTGGCTGCAGCTCCAACCCGGTGGCCCGGCTGGCGCGGCAGCAGTACGAGGTCACCGCCGCGGTCGCCCTGGTGGCCGTCAACATGACCTCGGGTGAGGTGGTGCAGTTTTCGGGGCGGCCACAGCTGGACGAGCTGCAGCAGTGGGTGACCGCCGTCCGCGCCGGCCTCATCACCGGGAAAGGTCAGGACTGAGCCTCTCTCGGGTCAGCGAGAGCGCTGCACCGGGAGAGGAGAGGGCGTAACTTTACGGTACGAAACGGCCGCTGGTGGTGAGTAGTTTCAGATATCAATTTACGGCAAGAACTGCTCTTCACGTCACAGGCTACCGCGACAAATGTCCTCCTGCACAGATGTTGCAAGAGCCCACGCAAAAACCATACGCATGAAAGGTCAACTCTGATATTAAAAATGACTTAATCATGCTCTTTTGTTTCCTTGGTTTTGACACTTTCATGAATCCGCGAGCTCATCAGGTGTTGGTGGGTACCACTTAAACGTCAGTTACCCTGTCAGAAAACAATGACGTCCAAGTAGACACCGGAGCTGATGGCACATTGTCATGTGATGTCCTGTGTTTCAAGTCCCGTCTGTTCTCCGGCTTTCAGTGCTTCTGAAGCCAGAGCAGTGGCATCCGGTGCTGCCACCTATCGACTTTGGTTTTCCGGCAGCGACTCTGGCTCCAGGGGGCGACACTGCCGAGACGCTCGCTGGCTTTCAGGGTGCTTCCGATGGTGAGTGCCGCAGAACCTGCTGGCCGCGGAAGTCATGGCAGGCGTTGGTGTCGGTGGTGAGTGCTGCAGAACCTGGCAGGCGTTGGTGTTGGTGATGAGTGCTGCAGAACCTGGCAGGCGTTGGTGTTGGTGGTGAGTGTTGCAGAACCTGGCAGGCGTTGGTGTCGGTGGTGAGTGCTGCAGAGCCTGGCAGGAGTTGGTGTTGGTGGTGAGTGCTGCTGAGCCTGACAGGCGTTGGTGTCGGTGGTGAGTGCTTCAGAACCTGCAGGTCGCTGCAGTCATGGCAGGTGTTAGTGTCGACAGTGATGCGAAAATATGATTGAGCAATCTTTGCGGTACAATAATCAGACATGACAAACCAAACCACCTATGCATGCACATGCTGGGTGCAGGGAAGGAACAGCAAATGTAGGATGGCGCGCATGAAGAACGTGAAGTACACCACCATACAAGAATGATGATATGACTGAGGCACAGGACGACCAACTGATGTGTTCTGCGCTTGCTTTGTTTCATTAGCTGAACATAAGAACAGGCTGTGGTTGAGGACACATGTTCTAAACGCATGCCATCTTTCTCAGGCTCTCACGGCCGCCGGGGGGAGCTGTAGCGACGGCACATGTCCTCCGCGGCGTCGTGGTGCAGCAGCCTGCCGCTCCGGTCAGAGATCAGAACAGAACAGAGATCCGTGTACAGAGGTCTCCAGCATCCGAGTGTGGCTTTCATGTGGCCGACAGTTTCCTTGGCAATGTGGATCTCCTTGGATTATAATTAGACAGACAAGTATGTGCATTGCGATGTGCTCTTATGTGAAGATGTTTTCTTCGCAGGTTTGCGTCAATACATGAACGCACATACGTCTGCTAAATACTTATGTCCAATATATGCAGTCTGCCGGCTTTAGCTTGTCATTTCCACAGAAGAACCAAGTCTATCTCCGAATCCACCCGTTGATTGACTTCTATTCTAAACGTGTTCGTGCGACTCTTGATCAGTGTATTTTTAAGCATCTGGAAAAGACTCCGCTCGTACCTCTGGAATACTCGCCAGTCGGGGTTGCTTACCACGTTTGTCACGCTGGGGAATGTGGTAAATGTAGGTTTGCGTGTGGCTTAGTGTCGAATCGAATTCACATAACCATTGCAAATATCGTACTCACTTACGTGACCCTCAGAACTAGAGGACCTCACGGGATGGGCAAAGCCATGGGTACCCATGTGGGCGGGTAGCGGGTACATCGGTAGATCGCTATACGACACATGGATAGATTTTGGGTACATTGCGGACACGGGTATGGTACTGGTAAAACGTTTACAAAATATCAGATAGATACTTCAGGAAATACTGCACAATATTACTGGTTACGCTTCTTTTAGTCACGGATAGGTCCGACCCTCAGGGGCGAGGCAAGAATTTTTAGTGTGGGGAGGCGGAACTGGATGAGAACGCATCACGCTGATTTTGAACTGTTATTTTCTGCTAGCTGCTATTTAACCGCTATTTTATGATTATTTAACTCTTATTTTCCCACTGGGGCTATTTATGGCGAAAAAAGAAAATGCAGGCCTAGGGGTGACGCCTCCCACGCCTTCCACCTGCCCACCTCCCCCTTTGACTGCGGCCTGTGTGCCACACCATGTTTGCAATCATTAGTGCAAGAGGATGAGTTTGGATGTAAAACTTTCTGGCAGCATTTTTTAATTCAGAGCTGAAGACCTCGGAGAATGCAAATGGGTGGGTCATGGGCAAACTTCACTGATTTGGAATGAGTGCGGGTGGATATGGGAACCGCGTCATGGGCAGTGGATCGACTGGGTAAAGGAAATAGAAGAAAGCAAAGGAAATTGAAGGAAGCGTAGAAAGTGGAAGGAAGCAACGGAAGACCTCTAAGGCCTCAAATCCAAGCCATCATAAGTTGAGAGTTCTCACACTGACGGTGAGCAAACAAAGCTACGGCTTGGTGAAATGGCCTGAAAGCTAGTTGAAAATAGCATGCCCAGCGAATAAACTTTGCCAAGTGAGATATCTAAAATGGGTTGCAATCTAAAAATGCATATTAAGTCCAAAAGTCCAAATTTAGTTATCATTCCGAAAAGTCCAGCAATCGCCCTCAAACCATTATCTTAGGCCAAAAACACAAATATAATGTATCATGACGAGCACAACTGTAGTTTCCGAAGACGCACATTGAAAAACATAGCGTACGTTGCTGCATCCTTTGCATCCATGAGCACTTCAATGAGATTTATCTGCTGCTACATTAATAACGCCGTCTTGCTTCTGTTTGGCATGACATACAAGCATATAAATTCACTTTATGTGTTGGCGTCGAAAGAGACATCTATGACAGAGAGAGGCATTAATGCTGGTATCTATGGCAGCGTTAATTTTGTTCTCATTCCGCACATCGATGATCATAGCAAAGGTTTTTGGACATTTCTGGTTTCGAATTGCTGAAAGTTAGTGAAAGGAACCGATCCTACGGTACGGTCCTATCCTACTATCCTACTACTATCCTACGACAAAATTGTATGCATTGAATCGAGGATCCCACTCTTCAGTACCTCCTCCGAAATCTGAAATCAAGCGCGGGCTGGTTGTCCTAGCGTTGCGTTTGCTGCACATATCGCTCACGTTCTTCAAACACGCATCACAGATTATTACGTGCAGGGGTACAACGCGAACGAACCTGGTCCTTCCAAACTGTGACGTAAGCGGCTCACGCCATCCCGATTGGTTGAAGTCCAAGTTCATTGCCCTGAAGGCAGTATTTGTTTGAAGTGTTTAAGCCGTGCAGATTGACGCCGAAAGTGCAAAGTGGTTGTAGAACAGTCCATGGGTTTATTTCCCAGCCTGGCACTGAGCTGCATCTTTCCCGCGCTGCAACATGTAGTGTAACATTGCGTTCACCCTTGGTTCGCATGCGACCTTGCCGTTGATGCCCTACTTAATCTGCAGTCATTAATCTGTGTTAGGTACCAGCCGTGCAAGCAAATGCAGCGCACATAGTCTTGATTCTAATGACACCTGTCTTTTGTTTTTCGCATCGTTAATATCAGCAGCCATAACTAAAAAATATTGATCACGCTGGCTAATGGCGAGCAAATCACCTTCTGAACGTCGTGACCAAGATTGTGCTGCTTGAACGGCCCGGCCAGACCAGTAACCCCTTTTTCAGGCCAGCAGCGTGCTGTACTGTGTTTGTTACTTGCATCACTCGTCCCATCCCGCATCGCTGTCATTAACCCAGCCGTTCAGCCGCGCTTGGTGCCTTGTGCCCTGTGGCTGCCGGCTCCTCAACCAGCAGCCTCTCACTACCCGCGAGCCCAGTCCTGCCTTCTTTGCCTGCGTTTCTTCCGCATGCTTATCCTAAATAACCCGCCTCCATGCCACGCATTGAATTATTACGACGGGCCGGTCGTCGCCTTGCGTGCTGGCTTGAACGCATGAATTGTAAACGTAAGGTTAGTATCTCCATCCAAATGATCACATATTGGCGGAGAGAGCTTTTATGTCTCCTTGATACACTTTGATCGTGGTATGAATACATTTTCCAAGGTATGGCTGTACCTAGATAGTTTGCATGCTCTGGATCCGGTCTTATGGATCCAACCGCGAGAAAGCCTCCAACTTGATCATCCCGGTTGAGCCGTCACCTGTTTCAAGAGTTCGCCTGTTGCAGCCACATAATCATAACTTTCTATAACAAGCCACTCAATGCTTAAAGGGAATGTGTCACAGTTGCATATATTGAGGCAAGCATCAGATATGATGAAACAAGGTCACTTATAGCTATTGGTATACTTTGCAAGTAGAAAAGACTGCTCTAGGCAGCACAATTATTCGTTTTCATCGTACCTTGCGCAACATTGGTTGAGAGCCAATTGACGGCCGTTATGACTAGAAATCGTGCTCACAAACGTCAGATGTGAACGCCTCGGCAATTTCATTTTTCTTGGCCTTGATCGCCACATGCCTTATGGAACGGCAGGATTTGAATGACGCAATTATGATGTCATGAATGCCAAGTTGACTTAAAATGCTCCTTCCGAAATACACTTCCCATTTTCTTGGGCGTGTAGCTTAGAAACTAGAGGGCTTAGGTCTTAAGAAAGGCTGGGTTGTGAACAGCACCGCAAGGTTTTCAAGATGGCCATTTTATCTCAAAATCCCAATAACGTGATACGCTCCTTTTGAACATTAGACTGCAATGCGTTCGCATACGGACTTTTCAAAGCGTGACTTTTCTGGAGTATTGCAATGTTAACCAAATCCACCTTGAGAACATCTTAAGTAAAATCGCTTTATAGCCAAATAACGAAATTATCAGCACGATACACGGGAACCTGTTCGCTACTAACAAGTCGTATAACACGGATCTAAACCTGTGCCTGATCTCGAAAGCCCTGCATCGCAGCGACCTGAAAGCAGCACGGCTCGAAGAGAAGACAGCGGCCAATGATGCCGGCTAGGTGCGGGATGGTGTGTCCAGCCAGCCAGGCGCACTCGACATCACGCCATTGATGGGGCTTTTAACGTATTTAAATGAATGCCAGATTTTGACAACTGGAGCAAACATGTGAACCCAACTGAGCAGTGTAGGCAACTGTGCTGCATAGGGCTGTTGGACTCATGAACCCTCCATTGATCATGCTGGGAGCGGCCACCATCACGCTTTCGAAACCTCCAGCGTGTCTGGAAGCTTTTTACTCACCCGGCGCTGACCGGTTGGTGACCACCGGAGGCATATTTCGAGATTTTGGAGAAGGTTGGCTGAATCACCCACCCAAGAATTCATGAGACGATAGAATATAAACCTTTCTACTGGGTCATTTCGCAACAACACAACAACACACCGGCGCTGAGGCACCCCCCAGATCGACATCGTTTGTTGGAAGGTCAGCGTCATGATCCGAGGTCACCAGAAAACTTGGGCTCATCCGTCCGTCCGAGGGGGGCATGAAGCTGACCACGACATGCCGAGGGTCGGACCGGACGTCACGGACGAGGTTTTGGTCCGTTGCAACATGCTCATCAGCCACGAATGTTGAAATCCTTCGTCTTCGCCTTCAGATGGGAGAGTTTAACAAAGAAAGGAAGCAAAGGACAACCAGCCATGAATGGTTGGAGGGAAAGCCACAATCAATGCAAGCACATCTAAGTAGCACCTCAACTCGTCCAATGATATATACAGTATGCCTCCCCTCAGCCTCCTCTAAGAGGCATACTTTGGTGACAGGGCGCAGGGAAGTGCCTCCTCCCGCAGACCTCAACTCCACAGAACGAGCGACGCCGTCCGTACCCGGAAAAACTCTCACGACTCGAGCCAATGGCCAAAATCCTCGCGGGCATCTGATTCATCATCAGTACAACGTCCCCCACTCGAAGGTGTCTGATGTCATGGAGCGACTTCTGACGATGCATCAATGTAGGCACATATTCTCGTCTCCACCTCTTCCAAAAGTGGTTTGCCAGGACTTGGGCTTGACGCCAGCGGCGTCTGCTGTTGATCTCCTTGGGCTGGAAAACTCCTGGAGACTTGTTGACGCCGGCACATCCGAGCAGGAGGTGACCCAGCGTCAGCGACTCAGTATCAGTGGCGTCAGAGCTGACGCATGTGAGGGGTCGTCCGTTCGCCACGGACTGCACTTTTCTGTATGCTGTTGCTTTCTGTGGTTGGCGCAGCAGGCTCTTTTCCAGGGATCGAAGTCGGCTGATTGCCACTGAATTGTTGTTCGACAAGGTGACGCCGTCACTCTTTGATGAAAGTCTCGTCTCGTGTCTATTGTCCAGCCTTCACGAGGTGCTTTCTATGATTTGTACTGCTCTGATGTCGTCTTGTGATCTGAAGTCTTCATCATCGAACTCACTCCCAA